CCTTGTTCCACCTTTCTATCGACTTGAGAATGGTTATGTAAATAGATAGCTGCATGGCTGGAGAGATTAGCTGGCTCGGTGGACTCTTCCGGGACTCTCCGGCGACATCCTTGGGCAGGAGGCCCGGGTGCTGCTGCTCGACCAGCTCAAGGGGAAGAGTCCGCTCGTGCGCATCGGTGTGGAAAAAGTCTTTATACTACGATGGTCACACACACACACACACATAGCGCGCCCTCAAAACCCCATGATCAACCAGGAACAGCAGACTCAAACTACTTTTCGAGCTACACCAATTTAGAAAGGCCTTGCTCAAATTCATCGGTGTTTGTTAGAAGGCGAAAATACAAGGCAGTTCGGATGGAGAGCTTGTGATTGGTCTTGTCGGCAGCCTTTTAGGACCAAAGGCATCAATAGGTTATGGGAGGTTTTGCGCCATGCGCGCGTCCCTGCACCGGGTGTCTGCAAGCTTTGCTGGACGGTGCAGGTTGACGCCCAGGCCGGTGGACGGAGGGAAGCCTCGCACCGGTGGGGTAGTGGGGGGGTGTCCAGGACTCAAAGCAGCCGGGGTTCTGGACACTGTTGAAACGAAGGCCTTGGAAACAGAACTCAAGCCCCCAAGAAGGGAGCTTTGGGGGTTGTCCAGAACTCGTGGAACCTATCCGGGATGTTCTTGAACCAACGGGAGGAGCCACCATTGCGTTCTTGGCAAGCAGGAGAAAGACCACGTTCGGGCGAGCTGGGTGAGCTGTGTGAGCTGGAAGTGGAACAAATTCTGCAGCAGCTTTGGAGGGTTCCTTTGAACACACCGGATATCCGAGCGTCGCGAGGTATGCTTACCCTGCGATTTTGTCTTCCAAACCTGGTGCCGGGCGACGGTTTGCTGCAAGCGTTGAGGCCACGAGGGATGTCATGTCGTACGTGGGTAGAATGGATGCTGAGACGGGGTCTTTTGGGTGTGAATGAATATGAGAGCCCTGACCAGGATTTGGGGTCAAACGAGAGGACCTGACAGTCTGGAGTCCGGAGAGACTTCCATTGCGGGATTCATTCTGTCTGGTTTTGCTCCTCTAGCTCGCCACATATTAGATCCTATTTACTCCAGCCCCGCCAGGAGACGCCACTGGAAAAGTTGCGCAACGTCGCCATCATCGCGCATGTCGATCATGGACCCGATGTCGATCATGTCGCCATCATTGTGCTTTCCTCATTTTTTGGCCATGGCTTCATGTAGGCCTTTGCAAGCTGCTGGACACTTTGTGTGGTTGGGATCCCCCTATTGTAGCGGTTTGCGTGGACACTTCTCCGCTTCCTGTTGGCTCTGAAGTCATCTGGCGATGGAAGGGGGGAGAACTGATCAAAAGCGTGTGACTTGAGACCTGACATGTTTCTGTTTTCGGGGTACAACCACAGATTTGGAACATCTCTGAAATGTACTTCTTGAATCTTGGAGTTGTGGTTTCAATGACCTCCCAGGTCTGAGATGGAGGGGCATTTACATACTGTGGAGTGATCTGGATTATTCCCCAGTCATGTTGACTCAGCCGCGCTCACGCGCAGGAAAGACCACGCTGGTCGATCAGCTCATGAAGCAAAGTGGCATGGGGCTGAAGGTGACCGAGCGGATGATGGACAGCAAGGACTTTGATGCAAATTGAGGGTACTGCAAAGAGCGAGATTCCTCCTTTCTTTGGAGCCCAAAAGACCGACCCCCTGAGAATGAAAATGAGCATGAAACCAGGGGGATCAAGCTGTTGGACGGCGTTTTGCCGATCTGTGGGTTGTAGTGTTCGAACCGCATCGGACACAATACATTTTCCACTTCACGTACGTGTTCATCATGCTAACGTAGGTGATGTACACTTGGCCGCTGGCCGCAGAAAGCACAGAGAATCAAACATCCGTGGTGAAGAAGCGGAGGACCAAATCCCTCCAGTCAGACGTCAGACGGACACTTGACATTTGGCCTCCAGGATCTTGAGCAAGAGAGAGGAATTACGATCCTCTCCAAAGCGACTCGAATCTCTTGGAGCTTTGGCGCGAGGGTGGGCTCCGGGTGCCCCAAAACACTTGAATGATGCTGAACGGCCCTGCTTTTTCCCCACGTTATAGAGTGTACTAGAGAGTCTTTTTCCCATGTGGCTCAGCTCCCATGTTTCTTGTTTTTTCTTGGTTTCTGGAATGGCTCGAGGAATGGCTATGTCTTCAACATCGTGGATACCCCGGGGCACGCCGACTTTGGCGGGGAGGTGGAGAGGGTCCTGTCGATGGTGGACGGGGTGGTGCTGCTGGTGGACATCGTCGAGGGCCCCAAGACGCAGACGAAGTTTGTGTTGCAAAAGGCGCTGAAACACGAGAAGATGAGGCTTGGAGAGTGGTGGGGAGGTGTTAGGTAGGAGTTAGGAGCCTTGGGTTCGGAGGGTCTGGATTTGGAGGCTCAGGTGGAAGGATGAGGATGGGTGGGAGAGTTTGAGCATGGGTGGATGGTGGGATTGCACGGGAAGATGATTGGATATTGGAGTTATTCTTGGTACCTTGTGCAAGTGCTTCCTTTTCAAATCTTCGTGGATCTTCAAACAAGCCAGATGGAGGAAGGCCGGCCGAGCCATAAACATGACTTTTGCTTGCTGGTTTTGGTGACACAGCAGGTCCCGATTGCTGTAAGGAAAGAACGTCCGCGCTGCACCAAGGAAGCCCTTGGTGGTGATCAACAAGGTCGATCGTCCCATGGTGAGTTGCTGGGCAGCGCTGGTGAGTTGATTTGTAGACCTAGACCTTTTGCCAAGACCTCTTTTACCAGGGACTCGGGACTTATAAGGGGAGCCAATTCGGGGCGCCAATTCGGGCCCAGAGTGGGGTCTATGATTTGGGAACCTTCGGCTTGGACCGTCGCACCGTTTGGCTTGAAACAGGGGTTCTGGGTTCAGGGCCGTTTCCAGTTCGTGAGCAACACGCGTTGGACGTTCTCGCCTCCCAGGGGAGAAGGGGGAAGTGGAGAATGAGATCTTCGACGTCTTTGCCACGATGGCCACCTCTGATGAGCAGCTGCTGGGATTTGTCGTGTTTTTGGCACCTGGAGGCTGTGGGTTGGCCAGGTTGGCCGGAACGCTGCTGGAGGCTTTGGAATCACAAACCCTTCTTGTGGGGCCGAAGAAGGAAACACAGACATACAAACCGGTGAATTGAGTGCGACGCTTTGAAAGGCTTTCAATCGGTTTGACCCACTAACGTTTTTCTTTGAAATGTTTGGTCCAGCCAGTGTTTGCGGAAGGCTCAGGTTTTAAAGCCCAAGCATTCAATCATAGCCAGTGGAATTGTTTGGGCTGTGCCACACCCAAAGGCAATTTGATCAGGAAAAATATCTGTCATGCAATTGAAGCTTTTGTAGTTTATTTTGAGGCACACTCCAAATGGCTTGCTGGAGATCAGTGAGTTCGACTCAAACAGCACAAACTGGTGGCGTGAACACGGCATCCACATGCTAGTAAACACCAACTGGTTGTCTTGTTTCTCAAAAGGTGTAGTCTCCTTTGGAGGGTTGGAGCCCATTCAGAGCCCTCAAATAGAGGGACCCCCCGCCAAACGGTTCCCTTCCCCCCCTTGGCCTTGTCAACTCGTGCCCAGGATGGAATATCCAACGCTCTACGCCTCCGGAAAGGCCGGCTTTTGCGCTTCCTCCCTGGAAGAGGCGCAGTCCGATGGACGGCCCACAGACATGAAGATCCTCTACGAGACCATCCGGGATGTGGTGCCGTCCCCGGAGCCCGCGAGCGTGGCCGCTCGGGCTGGGTTTGTTGCGGCGGGTGGAGCCAGGAGCTCTACCGATGGGGTTCGGGTTCGAGCCAGGTGATGGAGTGTGGAGGATGGAGTCGGCCCCGGGCCGACTGCAGGTTCCAATCAGACTTGGGGGGAAAGCAGTAATTGCCCGCGACTCAGTTCTTGATTTCTCAGAGTCGCTTGAGGATCCAGACATTCTGGCATTGGATGAGAAGAACAAGGGCTTCTCCATGCTGGTGTCGCAGCTGGACAGGCGCCACCGGTCTTCGTTGGGTCGGTCGGATTTTGGATCAAGTCTATGGATAGGTTGGGATGGAGGCAAGGTGCGTTCACCGTGTTTTCTGGGGGTGGGGTGCAGGACGGGGTTAGAACTGCACCGAGTCCCATTCTTTGGTTCTTTGGAGAGAAACTAGCCCGTGCATCGGCCGAGGCCGAGCCCGAGCTCGACCGGCCGGCTCGCCCCGGCCTCCGGTTTGACACCGCCAGGCTCCCAGCCCTTGGGCCCACCGTCACGGGAAAGATCTTCAGTGGTCAAATTCACAAGGGAGACAAGATTCACTGTGGCACGGCAGAAGATGGGGCGAAGACGAGATCAGACTTGGAGATCTTGGAGTGTGTTCTTGGAGAACCGGGTGAGGCACAAGCCGAGCATGGCCAAGCAATGGTTTCAAGCGGTCGATTTGGGGCTCTGCTTCTGCCCCACCTTTTGTGGCCAAGCAAAGTTTGCTGAGGCAAGAGCTTGCAGGGTGAGGTGGTGGCCTCCGGCAAAGTCAAGGCCCTTCACTACTTTTCCGCTTTCACGAGGGCAGAGTGGAAGGGGACGTAGAAAATGGTCCTGCCTCAAGGATCAGCATGCGCTTAAAAAATGGGAACGCGTTCCACTTCACTTCTATTCAAGCTTTTCTTCAAATAGTTTTTCCATGAGTGCAACTAGAAGATACTCGAAGTATTAGTTATTAGTTAATTACTAGCTAATATCAGTACGAGTATTTATGCTTCGTTCTGCCTGTCCTCTTTTCGATACAGCCCCCCGCTCGCGTTCTGGCGCGTGACTCGCGCGCGCCGCCGCACCAGGAGATCACCGTGGTGCTGGGCGTGACGCGCGAGCCGGTGAAGAGTGCCAAGGTGCGACGGCGACGGCGGCGCCGGGAGGTGCGCGAAGGTGCCGGGCGGTGAAACAGGTCATACAATAACAGGTAGACTCTATGGGGTGCAGGTGAACATAGATGAGGCGTGGGACACAGGTCAAGAGGTTCTTACAAGGGCCAAACCTGCAAAAGAGCCGATTCTATTTGGTTCTGCGGATCTTGAAACAAGACGCACAAAACGAGAAGTGTACAACTAGGTACACAAGACCACAGGCCGAAACGCCTGCGTGTTTGGCTCAAGAAAACAAAGACCGCTTTCTGTGAAGCATGGGTTATGAGCCCAAGCGGTCAGCGGTGCCATGACATCCATGTTGAGCCGGCGACGATCTGCATCCAAGGAGAGGCAGCAAACAGCCGATGAAAGGCTGGATGAGCTGCTGGCCAACCAAACGCCAGCCAGGCGAACTCAGAGCGCGGAACCTAGTGCGCGGAGACCGGCCTTGGTGAAGAGCACACGCCAGACACCAGCCGCAGGGACACCAGGAGGGGCAAGGACGGATCCCCGGACCACAGGTGCTGGAACGGACCAACTGCAGTTGGAACCACCACCTGGTACTATGTTGGCCGGACTACTTCCACCTCTACCTGGAGGAGGTCTTCTTGGTGGCGGGACTATGGCGGCTGCGGAAGTGATGCAGGGACAGCTTAGGGATCAACTGCCCGGTGGGTGGTCGATTCTACAGGGCCCGTATCCACAAGGTTATCCGGTGGCCTTCCATCCTGGGGGGACCACGGATGTATCAGGACAGTTGCCCATCCTTCCGGGACGTCGTGAACGTGAGGGAGGAAAGATGGCGGAAGAGGCTTCAACGTCAAGAGTGGAGCTATCTCATGGTGATCGAGAACGCCAACGTGGGGGACCTCAGCCTGATCAAGCTCTTCGTCCTTGCCGTGTTCCGGACCCCGTTCCTGAACAATATGAGGGTGAACTTGGAGGACAACATGGACGTGACGTGGTGACCGTAGGTGCTATGTCGAGGCAACAGTCGCCTATCAACCCTTGGTCAGCGGAAAAGATCAAGGAAACCATGAATCTCCCGCAAAGCCAAAGCCAAGAGGCGGGAGAAACCGTTGAACTTCTTCGCCAACGAGTTCTTCGTGATGCCGAACAGCGTTTTGCTGATGGTGTTCGACAGCTGCTGGGAGGAGGCAATCCGCCTTCCGACGCTTCGTTCAAGACGGCTGCGGAGAATGGAGGCGCAACACAAGGGGATGGGAAGCAACAGGTGCCGGAAACCGGGGGACCACGGCAGCCTTCGGGGACTGGAACACAGGTGGCTTCATCCTCAACTATGACGACAAGTGGTGGTGTTCCTGTTCCTGGAGGCAATCTTCCTGGACCTGGACCCGTTCAAGGAACCGGACCTGGAGTATGTTTCCCTTGGCCATATCCCCCTGGAATTCAGCTTGGACCAGGTGGATGGGGTGCTATCGGGCTACCGCCCAATGGTGGTGGAGGTGGCGGAAACTATGGACCTGGCCTGGTTGGTGGTGCTCCTATGGGTGGGGGCAGTGAGGAATCGGTCAATGAGACCTTTCGCAGTGTGGATCTACCTCCACTTCCTTCGGACGCCAATGCACTGTCCTTCGGTGATTGGTTAGCCACGATCCAGCCTTTGATCGCGGACGTGAGTGTGTCGGCGGAGGAATGGTGGGCTGTGACCTTGAAGGGTGTTGATGAGCTGTATACCCAATGGTTGGCTTCGGATCCTCTTCAACGTCTTCGGTTGGACACTGGCACTTCATCGGCGGCTACAAGGTGGCCTAGGACCGAAAGGAGGGTGACCAGTTTGTTGTTGCAGGCGGTCCCCGACAACATCAAGGCGGAGGCTGTGGCTGCGAGGAAGCTGAGCGTGACCCATTTGTTGTTCACGCTGTTCGTCAAGTTTCAACCTGGCGGACAAGGTGAGAGGGTCACTCTCATCCGGTTTTTGACGGAGCTCAAAACTACGGGCTCTATGGTTGAACTGGCGCAGAACCTGCGTCAATGGCGGAGATGGTGGAATCGGGCTCAAGAGCTGGCGGTGATGTTGCCAGACCCTGTCATCTTGGCAGGTGTTTTGACTCGGGCTTCGGACGCCATTGCCAAGTCTGGTGCGCAAGCTGCATACCGGTTGTCGGTGTGCAGGCAACAGTTGCAAATTGATACAAGACCCAACTTGGACTCCATCAAAACCTTCGCGGAGCTGCTGCAGGCTGAGACCGAAGAGCAGGCGTTGTGCGCTGGAGGAATTGGGGGAGCGGGAAAAACGACCGTTCCATTTGTGAAGGCAGCAGCGTTGGGGGCTTCATCAACGACGGCGACTTCGGCGACGGGAATTGCGCAGGAGTCCAAGGCCGCTGGGGTGGAGCTCAAAGGCGACTGTCGCTTTTGGTTGTCGGACAAGGGCTGTCGAAGAGGGGATCGATGCAAGTTCAAGCATGGCACCCTCAGCCCCAAGGAAAATCGGTGCTTCTTCTGTTCCGGCCTCAACCACACTCGGCGTGATTGTCCGTATGTGAAGAAGGAGTTCGGGAAGGAGGAGAATGTGAAGGTGGCTAAGGTGCGGGGGGAGGATTCACAGCCTTCGTCGCCGGAAAGAGAGCCACTTAAGGTGAAGGTTGAAGAGACCACTGGAGCTTCGGGGAAAAAGACTGAGGCGGAAGCCGGTTCCGGAGTTGCAGGGGGTCCCATGCCGAACAAGTCGGACTCCATCGACATCTTGATGGGGGAGGCATCGGCTTTGTTGAAGTCATTGCGGAGTGCCAAGGTCAAGGCCATCAAGCTCAAGTTCATGGACGTGGGTGGCAACTTGGACGCGGGCACCGCATTGGGGCTTTTGGATGGTGGTGCAACTCACCCCCTTCGTCAAGCTCTACCTGGTGAACTGGAAAAGGCTGAGAGGGTTCATGTGGAGTTGGCGCATGGCTCAATCATGCTGCATCAAGACCCGGTGACGGGTACGTTGTTGTCGGCCGACGCGGTGGAGCCCATCGTGCCGGTTCGAGGGTTGATTGAACTGGGCTACAAGATGGTGTGGTCCAGGAGTGGTTGTGCTGTGGAGCACCCCCGCAAGGGGAAGATCGTTTCCCGCCTTCGTGAAGGTTGTCCCGTGGTGCTGGAGGAAGATGCCCTGCTGCTCATCCGGGAGATCGAGGAGGCGGAGAGGAAAAAACATGATGATGTCTACCGGGAGGAGAACTTGGAAGAGGAGCTGCTGACGTGGTGGAGCCAACGCTTCCCCGAGGTTCCTGCTAGGATCTTCCGGTACATGACGGAGGAGCATGATTTTGGTGGTGGTGCTCTTCCATGGAATCGACGGCAGCGACGACGGCTGCTGGCGGCTAAACGTGTGGTGCTTCATCTCTTCGCGGGGGAAAAGGCCGACGAGTGGGGGGAGCTCGAAAAGTATGACTGCGAGGTCATCACCTTGGACATCATGCACAACTAGTCGCAGGACCTGCGCAACCCGGTGTTGTGGGCTTTCTTGATGCGTTTGGCCAGGCAAGGAACTTTGGCAGCCATCATCGGGGGACCCCCATGCCGAACAGTGTCGAGGCTGCGATTCAGGCGACCAGGCCCAAGGCCACTTTGAGATCGAGGAGCGCATCGCTTCGGGCTACCGAATCTCAGCGTTGCAGAGCAGCGTTTGGCGGACCGCGACGCGGCCCTCGTCATCAAGCAGGTTGGACTCTACCTGGCCACGGAAGAAGCCAAGGTGGAGGTGGGTGGACCTAAAGGAACTACGGGCTTCTTGTTGGAGTCTCCAGCAGACCCGGCCAAGATGGTGGGGGATGGTGGACGAATGCCGTCCTTCTGGAGCTGGCCGGAAGTTTTGGGTTTGTTGGAGGAGGAGTCCATGGGGATGGTCACTCTGGATCAAGGTGCCGTAGGGCATTCCAAGAAGAAACCGACATCGCTGCTCACAAACATGCCGGGGATGATGGAACTACATGGACTTCGAGCACGAGGTGACGATGAACCCCTTCCTGATGACCTACAAGCCAGCATTCAGGCATCAAAGTCCTGGTCGTTGTGGGCTCCGGGATTGAGAGCTGCGATTAAGGAGTCCCTCCGATGCATGTTGGAGCAGGGTGCAACACAACAACGAAGGATAGCCAAGCTATCGCAAAAGGAAAAGGATATGTGGGCGACACACTTTCGCCAAGGACATCGACCCTTTCGCAGGGACTGCAGGCTTTGCATTGAGCAGGCAGGAACCCAAAAGCCGCATCGACGTCGAGGGGACACACAAAGAATGTCATCGGCGTGGTCAGTGGCGGTGGACATCGTGGGCCCGCTATCTATGACAAGGGATGGCGCGTCAGGGCGGGTCGTTCGCTATGCTATGATCGCGGTGGCATTGGTCCCGGACTTCAACGCGGTGGCGGAGGATGATGTGGCGGAGAAGGACGTGGCGGAGAAGGACGTCGCGGCGAAGGATGGGGCGGAAGATCAACATGATGGAAAGGTTCCTATACCCAAGGAGGACCCTACGCCGGAACAGGTGGAGGCACCAGAACCGGGGGAGGACGTGGGGGTGATGGAGGGATCCAGCCCATGACTATGACTTTGAGGCGGAGCTCCAAAAGTGTCAACGTGGAGTTCCTCTGAAGCACGTGACCTGCATGGAGGTGCTGGAATCCCGGGCCAAGGCTGAGGTGATTGTCGGCTTGCAGAAGTTGATCACCAAGTATAAGGCCATGGGAGTGGCGGTGAACCGCTTGCACACCGACAGGGCGAAGGAGCTCATCAGCAAACAGGTGGAGGCATGGTGCAGTCGATGGGGGATTGTACAAACGTCCACTGGAGGAGATGACCCTGCTGCCAACGGCCATGTAGAGGCGGAGGTGAACCAAGTCAAAAGGCGCGCGAGGCTACTGCTGGCGCAACATGAATGTGCAGGTCAACTCTGGCCATCGGCGATGAGGTACGCGGTGGAGGAGAGGCGAAGACGCCAGTTGGAGGAGCTTGGAGTTCCCACATTGCCTATGCTGCCATTCTATGCCACTGTGTATGTGAAGGCGAAGAAGTGGCATAAGGAGGGGGGACTAATGGCACCATTTGTGAAGGGCAGATTGATGTGTCCAAGCCCCATGATGAACGATGGATGGGTGGTACAGGCCGAGGATGGCAAGATCCTTCATGTTCGAGAAGCTGTACAACCGAACACTGAGGCGGAGGACCTACGTCGGGAACTTGAAGATCAACAAGCACAAGTTCGCCTACAGTTGGAGGAGGAGCCACGACCAGGCCAACCATACCATCGCATGTGGGGGAAACAACCATTGGATGGGCAACCACGCCTTCCTCAAGATGGAGGACAACAAAGTGCGACTATGCCAACAGCGGGGGGGACTTCTTCTCCTTCTTCAACAACAGCTTTGGGCACAGCTTCGGGCGCAGCAGGTCCTGGGGGAGTTGCTGGTGAGACCGCGGGAGCTGGAGACGCGAGGCCCGGGGGAGCTGTGATATGGAGAGATGACCCTCTGGCCATTCCTATCTCGACTACATCGTCATCATCCAAAGGTGTGCGGACGTTGAGGGTTGAGACTGGGGACGAAGGAGCATTGGCCGCTGTTGACATCGAGCCGCACTACCAAGGGGCGAGGTGGTTGTCAGTGCAAGAACTAGAGGACTCCTGGGGTGACCAACAGGGGTGTCTACAAGAGCAGCTTTTGGGGTGCATCAACCAGGTGCCGACCACGGAGGAGCAAGGGGCGGTGCAGGGTGAGTTGGTGAATCACCTTCTGGGCTGGCGCGATGAAGTTGAAGGTCAGTTGATGGAGCTGAGTCGGGTGGCCAAGGCACTGCAGATCCGACTATGTGCTCTTCAAGCTCAAGGTCAACAAGGTGGAGAAGGTGAACAGGTCCTGCAGACCATGACCGTCCCGCTCTCGGAGGTGCGGGAGAATGCGGACGCATGGAGGCCTTCGTTCCAGTATGAGTACGACGTGCTGGTCAAGGAGACTGAGGCGGTGGTCCCCACGAAGAGGCATTTGTTGGCGCCGGGCACGGAGCTGGTTCCGGGGAAGATGGTCTGTTGCAAGAAAGGGGGCACAGGAGCTAAGAGATCGAGGGCGGTGATCTGTGGCAACCTGGCTTCGGAGCAAGCTGATCCACCTCCTGGAGGTTTGCCTGGTGGCTCCTACGCAAGTGGGGCGGATGGGGTGCTCATTCGGGCATCGCTGTTGGAGGCCAGTCAACGTCGTTGGGAGATCACCTCGTTGGACGTGAAGTCCGCGTTTCTGCAAGCTCCTCGACCACATCAACCAGGTGGCAAGCCCGTGGCAGTTCAGCCGCCGAAGGTGATGGTGGACCTGGGAGTCTGTGAACCGGATGAGGTCTGGCTCATCCGAAAAGCACTCTACGGGTTCAATACGAGTCCATCGTACTGGGCGATCTACAGGGATCAGGTCCTGGAGGAGTTGGCGTGGGAGGACAACAACGTCGCCTACCACCTGATCCAGACCAAGGAGCGCAACTTGTGGCGCATTGTGGAGAAGGAGACACAGGTGGTCAGAGGCCTTCTCTTGGTGTACGTCGACGACCTCCTCGTGATGGGAGATGCAGTGGCACGACCTGGTCTTCTCAAGTGCATTCAGTCCTGGTGGAAAACGTCCACGCCCGAGACGGTGGATGACCAGGGTTGGGTGAGGTTTTGTGGGTACGAGCTCAAAAGCCATGAAGGAGGTTTGTTGTTAGGTCAACCCTCCTACCTGGGTGAGTTACTGCAGAGGCACAACATCGTGGACAAGAAGACGGTCCCGCTGCCAAAGGACGCTGTACCTCCTCCAGAGGTGGAAGAAGGGGTGACGGCGGAGGAGATCAAGAAGGCACAGGGCATCGTGGGGGAGATCCTGTGGGTGGCCATTCGCAGTCGGCCTGACCTGTCCTATGCCATCAGTGCTATGGGAAAAGAGGTCACCAAACGGCCGAGATGGGTGCTTCGGGTGGGACAACATGTTCTGGAGTACTTGAATGGCACGATGGACTACTTCCTGCACTATGTTCCCTGTGGACCTGGTGATCGTGGACCTCATGGTGATCTTCCTCTGGAGCGCTCTACATCGTTGGTGGAGCTCTTCAGCGACATTTCGTATGCCCCGCAAGGGGAGAAAAGTGTGCAAGGCATCG